GTGGCGCTCTGGCCATGGGGTGGGCCTCACCTGGTAGCTGACCAGGACCTTGCTCTTCCACAGGGAGCTGGGCACGTCGTGGATGGACAGGCGCAGGCTGTGGTAGCTGTCCTTGAAGTGCAGGACACGCGGCTCCTGGATCAGCTGTCCGCCCAGCTGCTTCTCCAGCTGCAGCACCTCCTGCGGGGTCCAGGTGGTCAGCAAGGCCCAGGTGGGGGCAGCCCTCTGCTCGGGGCGGGGCGGCCAGCCCGCAGGGCTGGGGAAGTACCTTGAGTGCATCGTGGGTGTCATGCAGGCAGTACACACGGATGTTGTACTCGAGGGAAGTGCAGGCCACAGGAGCAAACAGCAGGAGCTTGAGGCGCTTGGTGGCAGCCACACTGAGGGCCTCTCCCACCAGGGCAAAGCGGCCTAGCTGCTCAGTGAAGACGTAGCAGGCACCCGCCTCCAGCTGGCAGTAATAGAGGTGTGAGGGCGACTCCTCCCCGAGGTGTAGCACATCCTGGGGGGAGGGGCTAGTGGGTCAGTTCCTCACCTCAGGAGTCCTCAGAGCCATCAGGCCACCCTCAGCTCTAGACAGTGGCCAGAGCTAGGGCAGACTCAGGACCACACAGTTATCAAAGACCAAGGTCAAAGGAACGGGAGACCACGCTCACTCAGAGGCAGGGTTTGGGGTGGGTAGCCTCAGCTGTTGTTCCTTACTTACCTCCCAGCTGCCTTCGCAGGACTGTTTTTTGAGGTGCAGGCTCCAGCTGTCAGGGCTGGGCTCTCCGCAGTGGTCCATGGCAAGGATGACTGGCCGGGTGAGCAGGACCCCTGGAGGCCCACAGCTAACGATGGGACTCAGCAGGGTCTGACAGCCAGCTAGGGGCAACCTCAAGTGGAGAAATACGGGCAGGGAGGGAAAGGCGTCAGTGGCCAGTCCCAGAGACTGTGAGGCTAGGGGACGAGCTTTGGGTAGGGCAGTTGGTACCCTAGGGATGAGCTTAGGTGTGCCTCATCCCTGTCCTCCCTCAGGCCAGGTCAGAAGAGGCACAGCAGAGCTGGGCACATGTACAGGGTGTGTGTGTGTGTGTGTGTGTGTGTGTGAGATTCAGCACAGCAGGCGGGTGCCCTCCCAGCCCCCCACCACAGCAAGGCCCAGGCCCACACCTCACATCTTCTGGCTTGTGCAGTGTGAGGTAGATCTCGTAGATCTTTCCTCGGGGGATGGCATCTGGGGGAATGAGGAGGCTGATTCCTGTAACGGCAAAGGGTCAGGGCTTATAGCTGCACCATCCCCTGTGAAGTAGCCAGACCATGACTTTCCCCTGTAGCCTTCCTTGTCTGGAGACAGAGGTGCTTCAAGGACTACCGTACCGTCCCGCCACCCACATAGGCATGACTGAGTCAGGGAGACTCCAAGAACATCTGAGGTAAAACAGCGAGGAAAAAGCATAATTAGGAAAGAAGATAGCACACACGCTGTCCCCACCTGCCCTGTTATCCAGATGACATTATTTGGATCAGGGCATTTCCTGCTGAGGTCTTGCCCATCTTCTAGGCCTGTCATTTAAGGCCCGTCATTGTCACCCTGACAGTGCCTCTGCCCAGCCTGTGCTGCATTCAGCAGTTTCCAAACGGTGCTCAAACTCCTCCTCTATTGGTCCTGTCCCCTCTGAGGGGACTCTGTCCCCGGTCACTTCCTGCCACTGTCTCCACCCTTGCATATGGTGACGGGTCTCCAGCAGCCCTCATCTACAGCCCAGATGTCCTCCATTCCACGGCTGTGCCCCGCCCCAGATGCTTTCAGGAGCGGTGGGAGGAGAGGACCCCCCACCCCCCAGACGTGAGGAACCTCTCAGCTCATTCAGGAAAGGGGGACATCCTGTGACTTTGTCCTAAAGCACACAGATGTAGCTCCCGGGTAGGCTGGGCTGGACTGCCAGGCCAGTCAGTGCTACATGAGGACATTACAGTCTGCCAATGTGCAGTGATGCCCCACGGGGCCACATGTCCCACTGACATCCGAGTCACTAGGTTTTGTTTGAGTGCACGTGGTGATGTCCACCCACTTGGTGCTATCATTAAGTGATGTGTGGCTGTTTCACACAAGGGGGAATCTATTCACCTCGGGCTCGGGGTTATCTATCGCTTCCCTCACTGGCCGGTGCTGTTTCTAGAGCCTGGGGTTGCTAGTGTTGGTGACAATCACATACATCCAGGCGTGAATGCTGGCTGTAGGGAGGTGCACATACCCACACTCATTCAGAATTGAACACTCATGCTGGGCACCCAGAAAGCTGAGAGGAAAAAAGGATGCTAGCTCTCAGTCCAGCAAGGAGAGGGTCAAGGAGACATCGGTAAGGTGCACGGGGGAAACGGGCAGCCTCCCACACTGCCAGGGGCCATTGAGTACCCACCGTCTGTCTGCCTTTTCGGTGGAGCTGACAGGTACTGTCTCACCTCGCTGCCCCAGGAGGATTTATCATACCCTGTCCTGGGGGTGTGAGGCACAGGCAGCTATGGTGGATGAGGTAGTAGGAAGGGCGGACAGAGCCTCATGAGTGAGGGGTAGCATGGTATGTTCAGGTGCCAAGGCTCTGTAGTGACTGTCACATACAGAAGTGCAAATTGGGGCAAGAGCACAATGCAGCTAGCCAGCGGGGGTAGGCCATGTCAGCCTTGTCATGTGGGCTCCTAGGGAGCAGCAGGGAGCCTAGGAGGAGTTGACTAGGGGAGGGGGGCAAAATCAACTCTGGATTTGTTCAGCGAGTGTTTGGGGCTGGGGAGAGCTAAGGGGTGGGATACTCTGGGCGTGGTAACGTATCCCATGGGGCAGGCTGGGAAGTCGGAGGAGGCAGCAGCTGTTGGGAAGGGCGAGCACACAGAAGGACTACAGCTGACTGGTGGTGAGGGGTGACGGTGACAGAGCAGGGACCAAGGTGACCCCCAGCCAGTCTCTAGCTTAGGCACAAAGACTGAGGTGCTGTGAGACATGCAGATGGAGCTGCCCAAGAGGCAGCTGAGTGTAGAGCTCTCCCAAGGCCCGGGAGAGCTGGGGGCTGGGATGGTGGAGTGAGCGAGAGCACTTGGAGAGAAGGGGCAGAGAGGAGGGATCTCTGAGGAAATGCCAGAGACAGGAAGAAGATCAGGGGTACATGGGGGGGTCACCTAAAGAGAGGGAGCAGAGAATTTCAGAGTGGGGGGCTCAGCCTTAGTGGTTGCAGCGACTTCTCCACAGACGGCCCAAGAGGTCTCAGGGACCCTGTCTGAGGTGCTTGCGTGGACTTTCGGATAGGATCCAGGATGCAGTGGGGGCTCTAAGGGGTCTCTTGCCATTTGTGAGCCTCTGGGGTCTGGCGTTTGCCCTACTTCTGGGGCCCAACGTGGAGCCCACCACAGGTAAGGCTGACTCTCTGACAAATGGACAGACAGTGCTTTCATGTCCACGGGCAGCAAGAACGCGCTGATCCACGGCGTCACTGCAATTGCATTCTCCCCTGAACTACCTTTTTTCCTGCCGGCCAGACTCAGCCCCTCCACAGAGGCTGGAGCACTCGGGAGGACCATCTGGGCTGTTCTGGGAGGAGGAGGAGACTAGTCTGAGCCCCTCACGCTCTCTGGGGAGCTCTGGGGTCCTACCTGTATTAGGGATCATCAACCGGCCCCCGAGGAAATTGAAGGTCCCGTAGGCCATGTTGCTGGTGCCTCGGGGCAGGGTGCGAAAGTAGTTTTGGGTGGAAAGGCGGGAGACGAAGTCCTCAGCCTCAGAGGTGGGTGAGCTGTGGTGCAGGGTATGGCGGCCACCACCCAGCGGGCTGAGTAGGTGACCATTGGAGAGCTGGAACTTGGGGCTGGGCCCATCCTGCCGGGGACATAGACTACCCTGGTAGGTAGTGGTGGTGGTGCTGAGGTCCGGTTGGATGGTAAGCAGATGGGGATTGTCTATGGGATAAAGACAGACTCAGCTGTGGCTCAGAGGGACTCCTCCTCCCCAACAGCCCCTGCCTTGGGGACTCAGGCAGGAGAGCAGGGGGAGGGGCCGCCTCACCTGCTTTGTTGGGCTTGATGCTGACAGGCTGGAAGCCTGAGGTGAGGATGGATGAGTCGGCCACGTCTGAGTCCAGTCCTTCCTTCTTGCGGCAATAAATGAGGATGAGGACAAGCAGCAGCAGGATGAGGCACACGGCCACGGCTACAAGGCCTATGTAGAGAGCCACGTCCTCCGGGCCAGAAGCAGCTGCAAGAGGAAGGATGGGAATGGCAAGGCTGCAGGGGGCGTGAAGGCGAGGGTGGACACGAGGCAGGGAGCATGCAACTAGTCCTGTACCTGCCACCACTTTGCTTGGGACTGAACAAGTTGTATTCCTCACAGGCATAAGATTTGGCCTGAGGGTGCAAGGAGAGTGGGGGAGAAGAGCTACTTCCCTGGGGTGATGGTCTACGCTAGGCTGGGGGCCAGGGTGGCAGGGACAAGGTTTGCTCCTGGGATACCCAAAGAACGGTGCTATAGCTTACATAGGCCTGGTTCCCAGTGTGTCAGTGTGAGAGGTGTGGCCTAGTGAGAGGGTGTGAACTGCATCACTGAGTGTTGTTCTCAGTCCATGGGCGTGTCCATCTCTCTGTGTGTCTGTCTCTTTCTCTCTCTCTTACATGTGATCTCTCTCTTGTATGCAATACTGACACGGTACCTTCTGCTAAGTAATGTGGCTGGGATGGGGGGGGGGAGGGGCGTTGCATTGCATTTGCCAGAGCAAGCCAGCCTCATGCTATTTGGAATTTAAGCCTCTAAAATGAATAAACCTCTTTTTCTATTTCATAATAGTAATGGACAAATACACAGGTGGTCAGCTTCTCACGTGTTTCCAGGTCAGTTTGAGCCCTTATGTATACCACCAGCCCGGAACTGGGGTGGGGTGGGGGCTAACCACTTGGAGGAAGCTCTATTGATTTTTGAGGGTTTTGCATAATGGAAGAAATGTCCATCAGAAAGGAATTGACACAGATAATTAGGTTTTTAATTGAAAGAATAGGGGAGGGTGTAGTCTAGAGAAAAAAATCCAACAGAGATCTTTAATTGTTAGTTATGGCCTTGTAATTAACAGGCCTCATGAGCCCAGCGTCCCCACAGGACTTACATGTGAGCTTGGGGGATGGGATAGTTTCAAGGCTGTGGGAGAGCGGATGGGTGCACGCGAGTCAAGGCTCACATCTGTGCATGTCTCGGGAGGGAGGCGGTGAGACTGTGTGAGCAGAGATGAAGGGGACCCCTGGGATCCTGAGCTTTGGAGAGATGCAGTCTATGGCAAGAGAAGAGCTGCCTTGACCACCACCTCTGGGGCTGGACAGGGCCAACTCTGGCAAGTGGAAATGGCCCCTGGGGCAGAGAAGACTCACTGTGCAGGCAGAGGTCACTGGTACAGTTGCGGGTGTCCAGGTCGGCACCCCGGCACTCCTCACCGCCATTGCGGGGTGCAGGGTCCGAGCACTCTCGGCTCCGCCAGTGGGTGCAGTCAAGCCCACAGGCTGACCACTTACTCCATGAGCCCCAGCTCCCATCCACTGGACAAGACAGACACAGGCAGAAAGTAAAGAGTACAATCAGCTTAGGAAGCTGGCCTGGGTGGCCTGCCTGTGTGGCCCCACTAGTCATCTGGACCAGGCAGAGCAAGCTGGCCTGGACTTGGGTACAAGGCCAGGGTCAAGCCCTCCGATCTTGTAGGACCTTGAGCTGTCCAGCTACCCTTGATGACACATGCTAATGACAGGGAGGCGCGATGATGCCAGGGGCTGCTTGGCTCTCCCCACCCAGGGAGGCTGTCCTGGTCCTGAGGTGGCAAGGGCTCTTAGTCACATGACTGCCCTCTGGTCCCAGGCACAGGTGGATGATGTGCAGCCCCAGGCTGAGCCTAGATCCTGTCCTCAGGTTGCATTAGACCCTACATTGAGCCCAGGCCTGGACACAAACCGAGCCCTGACTCTGACCACACTGCACCCTGATCCCCACCTCAGACTGAGCCTGGCCCTGCGAGGCAGGCGGGTGGGATGGAGCCATGGGGGGGCAGGCTGGTGGGTGCGATGGAGCCAGGCCAGGGGGATGGGGTGGTGAGGGACGATGCAGGAGGCGGTGGCCGCTGGTACCTGGGCACAGAGTGGCGCAGGCTGTTTTCTGGACATTCTGCCCCTCACAGAAGGCGCCCCCGTTGAGAGGTGCCGGGTTGGTGCAGCTCCGGCTCCGTTTCTGCCAGCCACGCCCACAGCTGGCGCTGCAGACAGACCACTCAGTCCACGTCGACCACCCACCGTTCACTGGCCGGATAGAGAAGGACTGGGGTCAGGGAGCGGGGGCATCCTCAGACATGCTGGTCCAAGGGGTGGGGCAGGAGGGTAAAGGGCCTGTGAGCTGGGAGTGAGTGGGCGGGCTCCTGTGCTGGGGAATGCTGAGGAGGGCCAAGCCCAGGCTGCTGGACCTCGAGGCCTGGCAGCACCTTCAGATATTCTTATCCTCTTGGCAAGTGTTGGGGCAGTCAGGCTAAACTGTGGCTCACAGGGCACCTCCAGCTGGAACCCAGCGTCTCAGGCAGATGCTCTACGACCTCCCTCTTGCCTGTTCTTGGGGCTCCCAGATTATGTGGGTCTACTTCCCGTTCTGGGGCCTGAGAAGCACAAGGATGGCGTATTATGTTCCTCTGAGCCTCATCTTGTCTCTTCAGCTGTCACACTGTGCTCCCCACTCACAAGTGGCCAACACCTGTCCCATCCCTTCGCCCAGTCATACCTCTGGCCTCCTTTCTAGTCAGGACACTGTCTGGTCAGCCTGGCCCTTGCTGCATGCCTTTCCATCCTACGAGCCACACATCACTTCCCTGATGGCACCTCAGTACCTCTTCCTCTGACCGGGAAGCCCCGGGACCCACCATAAACAATGACAGCAGCCGAGGCACTGCGGCGACGGGCTACGATGTTCTTGGCCACGCAGGTGTAGTTGGCAGTGTCGGCCAGGCGGGCCTGCCGCACGACGAGGCTGTGCTCCCGTGTGATGTACACGTTGGGATCGAGGGAAGGGTCCACGAGGTCCTCATTCCGGAGCCACTCCACCTAGGGGGAGATGCCATGCCACTACACAGCTGGCCCAGGCTGGCCTGACCAGGGGACAGAGCGACCATTGGGGAGGTGGCAGCCAGGAGCCCGAGCATTAGGTGGGATAGGAAGTCTGCAGCCCCACTCACCTCAGCTGGGGGGATGCCTTCTGGGGGACGACAAGGCAGCACAATGCCCTGCTCCAGCGAGACTTCCTTGGCCAGCGGTTCCTGCTCAAAGTTTTTGCGCAAATCTGGAGGAAGAAAACAGTGTCCTTAAGTGTCTGGTTTAGCCCGACTGGCTCTTGGCCCTCGGTCCTGCAAGAGCCATGATACGCACAGCCCAGCTGCACTGGGGACCACGGGGAGGATTTAGGTCCCCAGGAACTTCCTCCACCCATCAAGGTAAGGCTGTAACCTCCAGGAAGCCTGCCGCCCCCTCTCCCGGGGATACCCCCTAACGACCACTCCTTTACAGCACAGGCCTGGCCCCGTACTCACAGGCAATCCGGATGTAGGCCTTCTGACTTTTGGTGGTACCCGAGGAGCTCCACGCCACACACTGGCACCAGTACTCTTCCAGCCCGAAGACTTTTTCTACCTGCTGCCTTGATACATTGATACGGACCTCCATGGTTGGCAGCCCTGCTGGGTTCAAGGGCTACACTGAGTGTCCCTGTCCTAGACCCTTGGTGCCCTGCAGCCCCCTACAGCAGCTCACGGACACTGTGAAACCCCTCAGCCCGGAGGGAACTCCAGGGTGACTAGAAGGGAGGCTGACGTATCTCCTAGACTTAAGGAAGTATGGTTTCTAGAACTTCCATTCCTACTTGGTCACCTGAGGCTTGTCACCGATAGAAAAATCTCTAGAGTGGTTACTCATGGAGCTCTGGTCAGCAGGTTCTGGCCTCCAGGAGCCCCTGAGAGGGAGGGTAAAGCAGACAGGCGCCGCTCTTTGGAGGTAGAGGAGGGTAGGGAAGTCTGCCAAGCTCCCCGGAGGGCTAGCAGGTAGATCTGACGGGTGATAATGTAACAGCTATTATCATTACAGCTGTCAGGCAGGATGGCAATAGACTCCCGGGACTCAGGGTCTCCCACATGCCAGGGTGGTATCTCACTCATGCCGCTCCCTTCCCTGGAACTGTTCCTACTCTGGGTGTGCTCCATGGGGGTGCCCACTCGGGAGACAGAAGCAGATGCAGAGAACACCTGATTTGCCACCAGCACCAGGATTGTCTGAATCCAGTGTGGCCAATATTCTACAGACACCTGGGGTGGCCTAAGTGTGCTCTTCCATCCCCCAAGGGGTGACAGTAAAGAGGGCAGGGGCCAGCAAGTGGGGGCCAAGGAGGGCTTGTGGTTGGGGGAGTCTGGGAGTGCTGGGAGAAACCCCTCTCCCACCCCACTCAGATCTCTACCTTCTGCAGCCTCCAGAACCAGACAGTGGGGTGCTTGGGGGAGGAACCCTGGTCTCTTTGACAACCCAGAATAGGGGATGCCGTCCGGCTCCATGCCACCTCCCACCCCTAGTTTGCAGCCAAAACCACTGTCCCAGGAGTGAGAAAAGACTGTTTGTTTCCAATTTCTCCTCCTCCTGACCCCAATTTCCCTTGGGTCACTGGCTTATCAGAAAGAGAGAGAGAGGCCAGCCGCCAATGTGTTTCCATTGTTAACAGAGAAATTCAATTAGGGTTGCATTGCAGGAGCAGTGAGCCCAGCTGAGCCAGGCAGCCTGGGAGGCTGTTTTCCTTCTTCATTTCTCTGACATGTCTCCCTGACCCCTTCCCAGATCCTCCTCATGGGGTCTTCCCAGCTGCAGCAATGGGACCCAGCTGTTCCTATCATCCGTCCAATTCCTGGACTAGTTCTTACAGGTGTGTATGTCTACAGTCGGCCCTGGCTGTGATGACTACCATGTGACTGGACACTTTCTCCTGCTATTTCTACTGTCTTGGGTGTAGGGCTGGGTGGGCTAAGAACCAAGGTGCCCTTCACAGGGCCTGGGTGCAGCAGAAAAGCCCTAGGCATCAGCTACCTGTCAAGCACACACACATTTGGGGCCTCTGAGACCGAGTCATGGGTGGAGCAGGGGCTCCTCTCCCTTATTTCTGTCTCAGGGTCAGGGATGGACAACCTCCAGAACATTCTGGCCGGGGGTACTGAGTGTCTTCTGGGTGGACAGGCCTACTGATGGCATCCAAGCCTCAGACTTCCTCTACTCCGCAGTTATTCACTACCCCAGGGCAGCTCAGCTTGGAAGCAGCAACAGCACTAACTGAAGTAATGTCTCCCTTTGCCTTCTGTCCTCCTACAGCCCCCTTCTCACAGCTTCCTGCCGCAGGGGGTGGGGTGTTTATCCACAATGTCCTAGGATGCACCTTGAGCTTCACAAGCTGAGGGCTGAGGGGGGAGGGAGACACTAGACCCTGCTCTGCCTTCCAGCAGGTCACTGAGGAGCCTTGTTCCTGGGAACAGAGTCTAAGTGGGGCAGTATCAGGCCCCAACAAAGAAATACGGGCAGGTGGGAGCTCTGCAGAGGAAGGAGGGACCCTAGGGTGACTGGACTAGGTGTGTGCATGTGTGAATGCAGATAGCACAGTGGGGACTTGCTGAGTGTTTGTGAGAGCTGGAGGATTAGCTGGACACTCTGAAGTCGACGTGGGCCCTTCTATCTGATTTTAATAAGCACTCAGTTTAACAATGCATTATACTCCATACCCCGAGGCCAGTGCTCACTTTTTATAGATCCTAGACTTCCCCCTGCCTTGCGGATGGGAAGTGAAGGCAAAGGATGGGCCTGTGTCTCCTGTGAGAGTCTCTTCTGCCACCCTAGCCCTCACACGTGAACAAACTGGGCTCAGGTCGGCATGGAGCGCTAAGCCCTGCTACACCTATCTGACCAGACTGGTTCAGTCTTTGGTATGTGCAAGATGCTTTTGCCATGGCCTCTGTGTGTAGTTAAGGAAAACCTTTCTCCTGGCCTTGTAGCACTCTGGTTCAGAGCTGGGAGATAATTAACTCAGTGAACTCCAATGTGTTGGCCATTGCAGGCCTGAGGCTTGAAGTTCAAGGCAGAAGGACCTGGTGGTTATGTGAGATATGTCCCCATGAATCTGCTTCTCTGCTTATATGGAGGGACAGACAGCAGTGGTGCCAGTTGAAGAACAGGATGGGGGCTGCCAATGCACAAGGCTGCTCAGCCAGAAAGGGCTGGTGACATTGGGGTATCGGAGATAAGGAGGGATGGCCAGGTCCATGGCAGGGCTCACTAAAACATAAAGCGGTACTCTGCCTATGCAATTAGTTTCTCCTTTAACCTGAAAAGGCCTCCCCCACCTCCAGTTCACAGATGAGAAAACTGATCTGGGGCTGGAGAGGGTGTTTCCTGGTGTTCTCGTGCCCAGACAATGTGGGTTCTGGAGCTGCGCTCCCAGTCAGTCTTGGGAGGTACTGCTACTATCTAGAACTTTCTTGAGCTGTGCTCCGTAGGTGCAGGGAGTCAGCAGTCTGTGAGCTGTGGGGGCCGAATCTTTAACACCCTAACTCGGTATGGAGGGTGTGCAGTGGACACTTGGGGTGTGCAGGATGAAGTGGCAAGCAGCAGGTATGGACATGGTTGGAACAGTGCAGAATGCAGAGCTCAGCCAGGAGTCGCTAACCTAGGAAACAGGCCAGGGGAGCGGAGTCCCTGGGGGTCCTGCTGGTGGGCTGGGCTGGGCTGGCACATGGTGGGCAGGAATCCTGCCTCTGTGACCTCTGGTGGCAGAGGATGGGCATCCTCACTGTGGGCCAGAAGACCTGGTTGGAGCCCTTTGGGGGTCCGGAACAGGTCAGGGTCAAGGCCTCGGTCTTCTCTGAGAGGCAGCCTGCTTCTGAGGACTAGGTCATGCTGTCTGAATCTGGGGCTCTTCAGCTTGCATTCACAATAGCAAGTGCTCCCAACTGTTCTCCCAGGCCACAGCCTCACCATCTGCCCTGTGCAATCTTCCCACGGCACAAGTCTGACTACAGTTTTCCTGACATCTGTTTGCACCCCAGGCTCACTTTCCCACCCAACCCGAGCCATCCTCAAGGGCCAGTGTTCCGTCTCTCACCCTGTCCCTTTGGGCAGGGAAACACTCCTACGCACTTCTAAACTTGCACACTACCCCTCCTCTTGAAGTCCTTCCAGGGCAGCCGCCACCCAATCCTGCTTCCCCACAGCACAGGCCACACTCTGGGTCACCTTTCTGGGCCTGTCTTGCCACCCTTTAGCATCTGCACTGCCTGTCTGCCTGGATGGCACTGTTGCTCACCCTCGTGCTGGTGGCCTATGCGTCCCAAACGGGCTGTCTCCTGGGGTGTGTGCTGAGTCTCAGGCTGGCTGAGGTCATAGTGGAAAGAGGTACAGGACTAAACCAGAAGTGGTTGTTGGTATCAGTGTTAGTTGTGTCAGTGTGAGTATGGCTGCCTCTTTGGCCCTGCTTTGGGGGAGTACTAGAAGCCATTCAGAGCTCTCTACCATGCCTGGCCTTTGTTCGGGCTGTGTCCCTGGTCAGGGTCAGGGGTATTTCCTCCCTCCTCTCTCCTGTCATTTCCTGGTTCTCCATCACTCTCTTCAGGCATACCCTGAAGAGCATGCCTGTGAGTCCCAAGGCAGCCTCAGCTCTGCTCTCCTCCTACTAAGAAGTCACCCCATTGTCTGCCTCTCTTGCGGGATTGTGAAACAATGCAAGCATGCTTCAACAGAGAGCAGAAAACCACCAGAAAATACATTCTTCTCACGCGGAGCCCACTCATTTCCACCCTGTTCCTTCGCAGGCTCCTCTGGACAGGCTGTCCTGATTTTGTGCACTGCTAGGAGACCCCGGGCATGTCAATGGACAGGTGTGTGTGGGCCTTCCCTCTTACTTCCCAAGCTGATGGTCAGGGAGTCTCCCAGAGAAGACCTCTGTATATTCACTGAGTGCCAGGTGTGAATTCTGCCTTCCCTGGTGATTCAGAAGGGAACCGGCCAGGAGGCAGCCGCATCTGGTCCTGCTGCTTGCAGGTGCTCACAGACCCTCGGGGCCAGCTGCTTCCCCCAGTGACCGCATCTGGGACTCACCACTGCTGCCATCAGTGCTGCGCTCGGTCACGTGATCCACCTGGCGCACCCACTCCCCGTTGCACTTGAAGAAGATCTGGGTGGCGGGCACAGCCTTGCACACCAGCAGCACAGGCTTGTTCTTGACAATGTACACGTCCTCGGGCTCCACCAGGAAGTGGGGAAGCAGGTCTGGGCTGGCACCAGGCACTGGACTGGCCACCGTGGCACTCTGCTGGGCACCTGCAGGAGGAAGGGAGGAGATAAGCCGGGTCTTCCTGAGACTGACAGAGGCAGCTGACATAGCAAAAGGCCGGTTTTGGGCGGCACCCCGGGGAATACCAAGTGCAGGCTGAGCCACTGGACACTCTTTCTGAGCCTGTGTCCTCATCTCCAAGTGAGCGGAAGAAAGGACACATGGCCTTCTGAAGACCAGGGTGGCGCAGTGAGGCTAAGGCTGGTGTTGGCTCCCAGGAGGCTGTGGACACATGACAGCAATGAAAACTCCACATTCTCCTAGGAGAAGCTTTGGGATTTGGCTCGGCAGGCCCTTGTCCTAGGTGAAGGTGGAGGCCCCTGGCACTTAAGATAGGCGCCATTAGAGGACAAGATGAGTGGAGAGAGGCAGGGGAATGTACCCAGTATATAATTTTGAGCAGCAACAAGTGGGGAGCTGGGTGGAGTTACCATTTGGAAGACTGGGGAGGGGTGGAATGGGGGAAGGGCTTGTGAGGCATGCCGGTGTGTAGGTGTGTCAGGGTGGACCCCAAGAGAGTCTTCCTGGAACTTCCAGGACCTGGGCCACTTCCCATCCATTCAAGAAGACCTGAATATGGGCTTCCTTCTAATTTTAACTCAAACCCACCACCATCCCACAAGCCATTTGTTACTAATTACATGGGTAATTGGCTCCGAGGCACTGGTGGAGGTAAAACCCCCAGAGCAGTCTGATGTGTCTGTCTATCAGCAGGACACCTGAAAGGGTGGGGACCTCTGCTCACCAAACGGCCTGCTGGCCTGGCCGACCCTCAAGGCTGCAGCAGTTCCCACTAACACAGGGATTAATAGGAGCCTCTAGGTGTAAAAAGCAGAGAAAGTCCCCAGGAAGTGCACTCTGCTCCCCGGTGCTGGTGACCTTGGGAGGTTGGGTGAAGTCACTGTGACATGGGTCACTCCATTGGCTCATGGGGATTCTGGAGTACCGCCTGAGGCTGGCTGCTCTGAGCTGCCGACCTCAGGAAGGCAGAGGCTGCCAGCCGTGGTCCTCTGTCCCTCCTCCAGGCCCCATTCCTCCTTTTAAGTCTGGTTTTCCCCTACCTCCCTGGCCCCTCTGCTGTGCACCTGTTCTTTCCTCCTGTGACTGTTTCTGCAGGTTCCTGCAACTCTGCAACAAAGGCCAAGTACATGAGCAGTCAGTGAAAACGGAGCTGCCCTTCCCAGACCTCCTGTGTTGCCTCTCTGTCAGGGTCGTGGGAGATTTGGACAGCTGGAGGGGACTTTTCACTGCCAGGTATGAGGCCCCAGCAGAGGTCCCTCCCCCTAGAACCCCAGCTCTGACACTGCCCTCAGGAAGTGCTCAGAGGGACCACCCTAAGACCCACTCATTCTGAGTGTGTGTGGGTGCGGGTGGGCGGGTGCTGGGGCTGAACCTAGGGCACCGAGCTTGCTAAGCACGCTTGCTCCACGGCTGAGCTCCACCCACAGCCTTCAAGCCCAGGAATGATTGAAGTCTGAGTCTGGCTCACTGATGCATCTTAGGGCTCATGCAGACTCCTGAGGTCTGGAGAGCAAGGGGAAGCTTGGGGGGCAGGAGGCAGTTCTAGAATGTGGGTGTAAGATGAGTCCTGGTGGGCACGGTAGCTTAAGACATGAGCCTGGACAAGCCACAGCCTCTCCACAGTCCTCAGGACTGCACACATGAATGGCCAAGCTAGCCCCAAGGCAGGGCTACCTACCCCCTACCCAGTCCTTCAGGGCAGGTCTGGGTCTGCTTCTGCCTCCTCTTAACTGGAAGAGGCTCAGCCAGCGCCTGTCTCTCTGCTCAGGGCTGGATGGGCATGGGTCCCCTGCGGGGTGTGAGACAGAGTGGGTGCTCAGGCCTCCCGCCTCCCTATCGATCAGTGCAGCAAGCCCTACTCACGTCAGCCGCCCGTTGAACCCAGCACAATCCCTCATGTCTGCATTTAACTGCTAATGAAAAATAAATGTACTGTGACCAATAAGGGACATAGCTCACTTCTCCAGGGCCTCCGTCACGCCACTCTGCTATGGCCTCCCTCCCACTTTTGGGGTGAGGGTGTTTATCAGGAGGTCCCAGGGGTACCTTCCAGGCTGTAGCCCTGTCCTCTATCAAGGACACTTATCGGAGTGGTAAGTTTGAGCCATATCCTCTAGGGACGGCTGGGTGCTGTCTGGGTGATCAGAGCTAGCTTCTCTAGAGCTTGCTAGCCCCTGTGGTGGGCATCTGCACACTCTCCCTGCCCACATGTTCTGGAGAGTTCTCTCACCTGAACTACATGCATATGGCATGGAGAGCCTCAGGCCCCTGTGCCTGCCACGGTGTGGGCCACTACACTGGACACTTCCATCAGAACCCTCCACCAAGGGTGGGACCCAGCAGTGCAAACTCAGACCCAAGTGACCCTGGTATGAAGCACCTGAGTTCTCTGGTTGGCCCAGACCTCCCATTCCCAACTGCCTCAGCCGGGCCTTCTGGGTCCACTCTCGCTGTTTGCCTGGCTCGAAGGGTATTTCAGGGTGGGCCAGGCCCTTGGCTGGCATCCCTGAACACTGCACTCTGGCATCTGCCAGTTCTCCCATTCGGGTGCAGCAGGCCTGCCCTTAGGCACTGACTTCCCCCATCTCAACCTCGGCACTCAGGGCCTATCCTCACCACCATGGTGGCTCTCACCATAGGAGATACAGGTGGGGGGTCAAGACTTTTGACCCCGAAACTTACCCCCAGCCCTGGTCCCCGCTGTCTGTCTCAATGCTACTTAGTATGTATGCTCACAGTGCAGACTGAGGAAGGATGCCTACCGCTCTCACCTCTAGGACTGCTGAGGGCCAAACACAGGCGGAACCTGCCAGAGCACACTGTGACTGCAGGTGGCTCCCAATACTGCACGTGCTGGGCTTGCTGCCACATCTGGAAGCCCTCTCAGCCCAGTTCCCCAGGGGCTTCTCCCACTGTGCCCACCTGGGCCCTCCCCCCACACAGGATGAGGCCCAGCAGCTGTCTAGGGGCTGCTGTGAGGCTGTGTTGGGCTGTGGTCACCAGCGACTGCAGACTGGGTACGCAGATGGCTTGGCCCTGAAGTGAGGAGTAGCCCCGGCCTCTCTCGGGAGAGCTCAGCTGCTCTCTTTGTTGGAAGGTGGTGCTCCTATCCACGATGCTTCCAGCAAGACAGGAGCCACACCTTAGCAGTTCCCTCTCCCCGTGTCTTCTTGGGGGTGAGGGATGAGCACATGTGTCTACACGCATGTGCAAGTGTGTACATAAAGAGGCAGGCTGGGGGCCAGAGGGTGGCAGCTACACAAAGGAAGAAAACTAGATGAACCCCCAGGGCCAGTGGTACAGAGAGACAAGAGAGTCCTGGGTAAGGGACCTTGCTACCTCTTCTGTGACCTGAAATGTACGCTCGCATTTACCACACCCAAAGTGAGTGCCTGCCGTATGCCAGGGGCCATTGCAGGCCTGGGACACTGCAGAAGCAGGCAAGCAGCCCTCTCCCAGAGGCCTGGGGGAAGAAAACCCAGTTCAAACACTGCCCATACTAACAGGGCTGTGGGAAGACAATGGAGGTGACACTTCAGAAAAGATGGGGTAACAGGGACCCAGAGGGAAGCAGGCCCCAGGAGAAGACTTTGAGTGGTGCACCAAATGCCATGGCAGGCTAAAGAGGGGCGCTTAGGGTTAAAAAGGGAATAGTCAGGTCCCACGAAGTAGCTGGGCTTGTTCGAGACAGTATGGCCAGAGCAGAAGGACTGGAGGTGTGTGTGTGTGTGCGTGTGTGTGTGTGTGTGTGTGTGTGTGTGAGGGGTGTGTGTGTGTGTGTGTGTGTGTGTGAGTGTGTGTGCGTGTGTGCGTGTGTGTGTGTGTGAGTGTGTGTGTGTGTACCTCAGAGTTGCAGGAAACAGGACTTTAGGACCCAGGAGGAACTTGGGGCTTCACTGTCCAGTCTGTGGGAAGACTTCCTGGGCCACGACATTATCCTGTGGAAGAGTCTTAGGAGAGGGTGGGTGTGAATATGTGGACGGCGGATGCCTGGCCCATTTGGCCCACCTGGGAATTACCAGGGAAGGAACCTGCTCCTCTGAGGTCTCAGGTTCACACACTCACTGTGATTAGTTTAATGGTCAACTTTCCACAATCCAGAGTCTCAATGAGGGACTGTCTAGATAAGGTAGTCTGTGGGCACATCTGTGGGGGACCGTCTAGAGATGGCTGTCCCTGGGCACGTCTGTGGGGATTGTCTTGACTACTTACTAACGGATGTGGGAAGATGCAGTTAGTGTGGGGAGCACCATTTCTACAGCAGAGAATCCCAGATGAGTGAGAGCAGAGAAAGCGAGCTGAGCAGGAAGCACTCATTCAATGCATTCTTCACAGCTCGTGACTGGATGTCAGGTGGTCAGCTGTTTCAAACCTCTGCTGCCTTGATTTCCCCACAATAATGAACTGTAACCTGGAATTGTAAGCTAAAGGATCTCCTCTCCCCCAAGATGCTTTTTGTCTTGGTATTTTTATCACAGCAGAAATGAAATTAGGGCAGTCACTCACCCGAGCATCTATCTATCCCATCCCATAAACCTCCTCTCAGGACGCAGGTTACATGCAGCATTGGGGGCGGGGGGTTGACTGCATGCTGCCTCTCGTCAGACCGCGACTCCTGTGGGCAGGAGCCCAGGTCTTCTTGGATGGCAGTAGAATATTTGTTGAATGACCACAATTCTCCCTAAAAATTAAAAGTCGTGCAAGGTAGCCCTTCCTTCTTGGTCTAAGAGAAGATCCAGAGAGCAGGCAGAGAAGCCCACCGGCCGCTGCAGGTGGCACACGGGGTCCCTCACTGCAGGATGCCAGCTCTACTCAGGTGCATTGGACATGTCTGTCTGTGTGAAGCTGAGCCCATGACTTTCCTCACGGCTGTGGGAAGGATGAACGCTTCCTGTGTATCTCAGAGGCCCAGGGTGGGTGTGAACATGCTTTCAAATGTTTTATTTTTAAAAGCACCACGAAAATATGAGGTGTGATTAATGAAGCTATTAATGAAGCTGCATTTACTGAGTAAGGCCTCATCCCAGCCAGCAGGGTGGGAGGGGTGGGGGCAGGATGTCACCTGGCCTCCCAAAGCTGCAGCCAGAAGAGAGAGAGAGCTCTTTCCCTAGCACAGCCAGCAGGCTGACACTTCCTCCTGCCACCCGCTCCTTCTATCCTCCCAGCACCCCCGGGTGGGGAGAACACAGACAGGGGCAGGATAGCCAGCTGCTTCTCTGCACCTGGGACTGGAGTGTGTGTGTTTGTGTGGGGGGGTACTGTGTGCCAGCCTCACCTGCCCCCAAGCCCTACGTGTTGTGCTCCCCCTGCTTTGAGTTGGAGAAGCCCCCCAGAGGCTTATCTGTAGATGGTGGCTCTTTGCAGGTGCCTCTGGCCTGGGTGTCCCAGCTCCCTAGGCAGGCAGAGAGAAATGATTCAGGAAAATGTGCTAGGGGTTGAGCTTCCCCTCTGGCCTCACCCTGGGGATTCCCTCTTATATCAGGTGGCATCTTGACAACTTGAAATCCTTCAAGAGTTTGTGCACATCCTGTTCCAGGCTCTGCCTCCCTCCAACATTCTGGCTGACAGCACCCGATTGTCTTCCAAGAAAGCCAAGACTCAGCAGGCCACGTGGCTGACCCTACTCCTGGCTCTTCCTCTAATCACACTGTCTGGCTCCTGGTCCTGCGGATTCCCCT